CGGACACCTGCCGGGGGGGACCGTCCCCTCGCCACGGGAGCGCGCTCGGCGGCGCCGGCGTCAGAGCGCGCGTGCTCAGTGCGGGCTGCTGGCTTGTAAGGCGATGATGGCGGAAGAGGAGCAGCGTTGAGTTCTCTTATCCCAATTTTTTTTTTTTACATTTTAATTTAATGCACGGTTCCTCAATAAAATAAGATAAGAAAAATAAATCCTCACTCTCTCCCGCCTCCTCGCCCGAGACCATGGGGAATGAAGCCAGCCTTGAGGGGGGCGGCCAACCCGGAGAAGTAGGCTCGACTGGCTCAACCGTAGGGACTCCGGCTTCCATTTCAGCACCGCCGGGCTCTGGACAGCTCACCAAGCCCAGCAATGGAGGTGCTGCCGGGGCAGGACCAGCGGCCGGAGCCGGGGCACGGATTAACAGGTAGAGCCGAGGACAGCAGGCGGCAGGCATTTGAAGCCCCGGTGCATTACCCGAACCCCCGGGGTGTCGTCCGCGGAATAAGACCCGCTTGGCTTGCAACGGGTGCCGTCCGTGTGCAGTCAAATGAAACACACTATGGTTAAAGAAAAAGACGCAGGTGTTTTGATATTACCCGATGCAATGATTTCGGGCTTGGGGGTGGATTGGGGGCAAACTGCGATGTTATCGGCTTTTCGGGTTTTAGAACGACGGGGTTCGTTTCAGACGTAAAAATTATGAATGAACCGCATGCCCATCAGTAGTGATATCCGGATTTATTATCCAGGGTTGCATGGCATTTCTGGTGACGAGACGTTTCAAACACCGGCGTTGTTCGCTTTTTACTGTACTACACCGCTTGACGGAGCGTAGTAGGCAGAACGGCAGTGTCTGATGTGGGTTACACATTTTGGCGAGATGCTTGTATCCGCCTGAGCGTTGAAAGACTGCCTTGATTTATGATGCAGAGCCTCCTGCACACCGAAAGCGACGCAATAATTGCTGCACTCTCCCCCGTTCCTGTTTAATGAAATCCGCGATTTAATATAAACTTTGGAAGGGTGACATAAAGGTATTTGACAGTGTCGTGCAAGAACACGATGAGCCGAGTGGCAACCTCAACGTTCAGTGCCAACCGACCGTGTTACTTTTGTGGGATTTCAAGGCGAGCTTTTGTGATCGTGCGAGTTGGAATGCATTAAATTATATATTTATCACGTCCGTTACGTGGATAAACCCCCCCCGATTTCAGCGAATCTAATTTTTTAAAAATGTTTTCGATCATTTAAAGAACCAAGGAATAAAATTCATGACCACGCAAAAACCGACCTAAGCGGTTTTAATTGACACCTTTTTAAAGCATCAAAGTATCTCAACTTCAAAGATTTATTTGGTAAAAAAAAAAACATTGTAGAAGAAGAGATTATAATACACGAGGCTAGGCTCAAAACCTGAATTTAAAACCACAGAAATGATTAGGATTGCTGTTTGGATATATCGTAAATGCTCACTTTGCTGGTTAGGAAACCATCACATTCTGTAGTTCCAACACTACAGCGCTTTCAGTGCAGACAGTGGCTTTTAATGCCGCTTGCGATAATGGACATAGGTTCTGTGTAAAATAAATCCATTTACATGGTCAATTAAGAGTTAAAAAAGAATTCCGTGTGTAGAGATATTCTCACGTGTGGCTCGTAGAAGCCCGCTTTGTTGTACGGTATTTCTCTTCCATTAAAGGGGCGTGTTACTTAATGTTTTTCCTGTGAGTCTGCTTGATACAATTTGCTTTCGGAGGAAAAAAAAAAACGACTCGATATTGTTTTATCATAAGATTAAAAAAAAAAATCTCATCTTACGTTCCCTGCAATAGAGGACGGGTCGATAGCCATGAGATATTATTGTTTTAAAGCGGAATGCCGCGAGAAATTCAATGAATTGCATTATACGAGAGCAACTCTTCACTTCGCTTTCTGTTGAAAGAAACGATTCTCGCAAGTCATTGAGCGAAGAGATCGTGCACGTCAAGGTGTTTTTATTTGACAATGAACAGTCTTTATCGGAGGGTCTGAAATTGGTTGTTTAAAAAATTAGTACCGACTCTCTAAAGATATTCTATATAAAATGGATTAGAAGAGCTATAGATTAGGAAACCTTTCATAGATTAAACGTCTTCCCTTTTGCCAGTGACGACGTAAAGGGAAAACTATCATAATGACTTACGGCTGCCTCTGATAATCAGCTTCTAATTGTCCGACTGAGTTACACAGCTACAGCGTGAATTGCCTTTGCAATTGTGACCCCATTGAGTGGCCTAGTTTTTCCTCCGGACTAAACCTGTAGGTAAGCCTGCAAAACTGTACAAAACACCTTGTTTTCGTACATCCCGATATTTCTGGAGGTGGACGCAAACGCTTCAATACGTATCTTTTTGAAATGGCGGCTTATATTCCTGAATAGGCCAGATACGCCGCGTTTTCACGTGAAGCTTCCTGAATCAGTGCACTGGGAGGCTGTCCGGCGGAGTGGGTCTGGACATCTCTGAAGACGAGATGTGACTAGCTTCTTCCTCGGTGAGCCGAGTCTTACTATGGCGGAGTCACTAGACAACGCGCTGGTAAGGGTGGTAGCCGCTGGTTCTTAGAGAACCGGAGGAAATTATTTTTTGAGTGTTGTATCCCAATGGGCTAGCATGGTGGTGCAAGGTTAGCATAGCTGATTTGCAAAACTGGTGCCCTGGGTTCGATTCTGGACCTCGTGTTCCTCTTCTGTGTGAAGTTTGTATGTTAATTTCTTACACTTACACAGAGTTTTTCTGGACACTCCACTCAGTGGGCCTTACAGGTAATGGGGACTCTCCTCCACCGACACCAGTGTGCAGCCCCACCTGGATGATGCGCCAGTCCGCTCGCCACACACCAGTCTCAGGGGGGAGGAGAGCAGAGTGATGAAGCCAGTTCAGAGAGGGGGATTATTAGGAGGCCATGATGGGTAAAGGGCCAACTTTGGCCAGGACAGCAGTGTTACACCCCTTGTCTTTTTGAGAAAGACCTCAGGTCAGGACCTCGGTTTTATGTCTCACCCGAAAGGCAGCACAGCACCTTTTTATGGTATAGCGTCCCCACCACTATACTGGGGCATTAGGACCCACAGAGACTGCAGGTTGAGCGCCCCCTACTGGTCCTACTAACACCTCTTCCAGCGGCAACCCTAGTTTTTCCCCAGGATGACCCCGGGCTCACAGCTGCTGAGCTCCAGTGAGTGGCAGGGTGATATAGCTGCCGATCACTATGTGCTGTATGCATGATTGTGCTCTGGGTGCTCCGGTCCCCCCCCTGCACTGCAAAGGCGTGCTGGTGGGACAGCTGGCCTCTGGGAGAACGGACCCTGGTGTGAGTGTGTGCGTGTCTGCCCTGTGACAGCCTGGCATCCCATCCAGGGTGCCTTGAGCCCATCGCTTGCTGGGATATGCTCTGACTCTCCTGAATTGGCTCTGAATTGGATGAAGCGGTTCGAAAATGGATGTTTAGACTGAACCATGCCCCAAGGCTTGTACTTGTCCATGTTTATGTAGTTCACTGTAAATATTGAATGCTTTTGCCTCCGCTAAGCTCCTAATGCTCTAGGACAAGGTTCCTAGTACCCGCAGTAGCTGGCTCAAAGCTGTGGCCAATTATCCTGCAAAGATCTCTGGGGACAGCAGTTTTGTTTAAGGCTTTTACTATTTACACAGCTCACCGACCTCTTCAAATCAAGTTATTAACTCCATTGACACAGCGATGAGCAGAATAACCGATGGTATTGTTTATGAGTTATTTCGACTCCTGACAACTGGAAACCTTTGTGTTCATGTTCTTGTCGAAAGAAAACAGTTCACAGAGTCAGAACAGAGAGAGAAATCTGTGGCGATGAGCCAGAGAAATTCTGTGGGAAAAAAAACAACAACGAACTGGTCTTTTAACGGGCAAAAGCAAAATAAGAGATGCTGAGAATCGGAGCTGGAGTCAAAACTGTCCAAGTATGGAAATGATCCTGTAACTGGCTCCTGAAAGGAGAGATTTGCAGCGCAATTGAGTTATTTGCATGTTTGAAATTGATTTGGTAAGTCAAAAGCCTCATTGACAGTGCAATGATAACCCCCAGAGGAAACCACCGAATTTGGTCCAACTTATATTCAGCTCTGGTGTGGCACAGTGGTGCAGTAGTGAGCGCTGCTGCCTCACGGCGCTGGGTGCCTTGGGTGATGTTCCAGACCTGGAGTTTGGATGTGTGTGGGGAGTTTGCACGTTCTCCCCTCTGGTTGGCATGGATTCACCTCCAGGGGCTCCAGCTTCCTCTCACAGTCATGCTGGTGGGTTGATTGGCTTCTGGGAAGAATAGCCCTGGTGTGTGAGTGTGTTTTTGTGTATCTGTCCTGTGGTGGACTGGCATCCCGTCCGGGTTGTACACTGCCTTGCGCTTGTTGTTTGTCGGGAGGGGTTTTGGTTCCCCACTGTCAAGAAGTAGAAGGGTCTCCGGCTCTGGTCAGGTAGTAGTCACATACTATACCAAGCGCCGTGGGGACTGGAAGAGTCTCCGCAGTAACTCCTCTGAGCTTAGGGTAATGCCAGTGAGAGCCGCATCACGCCTCCAGTCAGTGCCAAGTGTGCTGCAGGCAGAGGTGCCTCTGCACTGAGGAGTAACGGAGGAAGGCAGTGATGGTGCACACAGCAGAGGATCGCATGTGTGCATATCCTGTGCTGGTCTGAGAGCTGTAATGGTGAGCTGCATTGCATTGGCAGTTTAAAAATGAAGAGAGGTGTATTAAGAAAATAATTGCTGATTCCATATATATATATTTACCAATAAGTTGGATAGAAAGTGTCACTAAGATAAAAAATCAAATTCAAATGAGCTGTTTATAGTGCCTGTGTCCTTGTTATTTTATTTTTTTCAGTTGTTGACAGTCATGTGTGTAACCACTGTGGTTTGGTTAGCGCTGCTGCGTCATAGCTGTAGGTCCCGAGGCTGGATGGCGGCCTCGTGCGTCCATCTGTGTGGAGCGCGCGTGCTCTCTCCGTGTTCGTGTAGGTTTTTTTTCTGGGCTCTCCGGTTTACTCCCACCTCCCAAAAGACGAGCACTACGAGTGCGAATGGTTCCGATAAATTTCCCCCCACCAGAGGTCAGTCCCCGATTGCCCAGGAGGAAAGGAGCTGGGCATCGCAATCATAACTCTGTCTTGTCTAGAGTGGAACCCCGGCACCTCTCTGCTCTATGCCTAGAGTGGGGGACATTTAGCTTAGACAGATGCTTCTGTGTTGTTTCTTGTGCTGGGATGGGTTTTTTTATCCATGCTAATGAGCTGAAAAGCACCTTCTGAAAAGACATTCCCGTGTTTGTTGTGAGGATGTTATTAACACTAGAACCTATCACCCCATTCCCAGGACGTCCAGGAGATCCAACAAAGCAGAAAGAAAGATTTGGA